ATAGAAGAAAAAAATATATTTATAAATATTGGTTATTTTGTGGTAACACTTATACTTACTGTGGTTAATGAACCATGATTTTGTGATTGATAAAAAAATAATACGATTGATCTAGGTAATACTTATTGGCTATTTTATAGTGTTTTGATATATCATATTGTCAGTCTAATATTTCTGTAGTGACTTAGTTTTTCATAGTTACACAGCATTATTGGAAATGATGTACTTATAGTGCATTGTTAATGATAGAGAGTGGAAATTTATTAGTCAGCCCTGGGTTGTTAACAAATGAAACCATTATAATAAATAAACGAATATGTATGTTCAGTACCCAATCGGATATGAGCTGCGAATGGTAATAAATTCAATTAAATTAAATCCAGTCAAATTTGGAAACAAATTAGTTAATTACATATAGTTTTCCATTGTTATGTGTGTGTCACTTTTACAATGACCCCAAGCTTAATGCACATGACTATCTGTTTATTTTTGCTGTGACCGAATAACCTTATGATCATTCCTGGCGAGTTTTGTGTTATTCCGTATGTAGATAAATAGTTATATTACCCATAATTATTATAAATCACTATTCGTTAGATTTAATATTTCAATTTTCAGTTTTATTTTAAACTTTTTACTAAATTAAACATATTTAAAAATAAAATAAAAGATACGTGAGCAAATCTGCAGAGTTTTATAATTAACCATATTTTAGTACAACGGTGTTTGAATTTGTTAATGGATTAAATTTACTTAACATTATTGTATCTACTACAGATTAGAGTAAAAAAAAAGCGTCTGATTCACTTGTATTGTCAAGCTACATATTATTTTCATGGTCGAGTAAAAATATATGATAATATCTAAAAAGGAAATGAACCACAGATGTTTTGAACATAATTATTTTATTTTTTGACATTTTTTCCCCTTTCAATCGTTTTTTTTTTCTCTGTGTGATTGACAAATCGCAACAGAATACTGCAAAAACACGAATCGAAGGCCTAGTGACACTTCAATGTACGACGACGCTCGTTGCTCGTTCGTTCACGGTTATAACAGTCGGAACCTTTCACCGGCTGTATCCATTAATAGATTCTCCGAGCAAATGTGTTCGCTGCCCGCACACGATCAATCATAACATAATAATAAAATAATACCGTATTTTATAGTACCTACGATAATAAATGTGATCGAAATAATAAATATACATATATAGGTAACGAAAAAAAAAAAACAATATTATCAGCAGGTAATACACGTGGTTTGTCCATCAACTGTGCCAGATTTAAAAACCAGATGGCCCCTTCGGGTAATTTTTATGCCATCGTTACAATACAGTAAAATCGAGGACATTATACTCTTAATCCAATTACGCTGCGTACGTACAATGTACCGTATTGTCCGATGAGGATGCAAAACAAATGTTTCCAGACACAAAAATTTGTCGATACGGAAGTTAAAAGTAACAGTGCAAACCTCTAGGCGAAAATGTAACCAACTTTTTTTTATAGGATATAATATATTCCTATACCTACATATATTATTATTATATACGTAATAAAAATAGTATCATACAAATAATAATATGGACATGTCGTATTGTTTTTATGAACAATCTAATAATCGTTACAAAGGACACTATTTGCACCAAAAGTACATATTTTTTTTTTACTTAATAACCGTGATGAGTGTTCTAGAGAAACACATTATCTATTATGGTGTATTCAAAAATTAATCATAATACTATATGTATTATGTATGTACTTTAAGTCAATAACAATTGAAATAGGTTCCACGAATTTATTCGATGCTATAATATATACTACAAGCACTAAAAAGTTGCTTGTCTTTTAATTATTACTAAGACCAGAGGCGACAAAATATTCTAAAGTATAATTATTAATATCCTTCACTATACTTCCGTGACGTTAATATAGATGAAAATGAGCCTAGTTAAGTTAGTTCCAAGAATCTAAACCTCCAAACAATGTCTACGATCCTTTGCGGCTTTGATGGGTAAGAATATTGTGGTTGAATCTCCCTTAGACTTAATGGCAGAGTTTACAAGTAGACTACCAATCCCTTACCTTGAGTACCCTCTTTCATTCATAGAAATACGTACAAAGATCAAGAATATGAAGGGTATATACTACATCTAAGCTCTTCAATATTAAAACCCGAAAACTTTAGAAAATTCAGCAGTGCAATAATTTTCATAATAACTACATAGTACATGAATATAAGTACCAATATGGAAATAAAAAAAAAAACTATTTTAAATTCTACTAATATATTATAAATTAATAAATCTCAAATGAAAAAAATTAGGTTAGTACCTACACAAAGTATATCTTTGTTATTTTTTAACATGCTCTCGTGTGCAAAATCATGCACATTGTTGGTACCGGAAACTAGTAATGTATAATTATTTAAATTCTTTGTTAGATTTTTTTGTAAAGTACGTTTTTTCCTCATACACGATTACAGGCACTGTTCTCTCAAGCATATCACTAAAACAAATAAATGCATATTTTGTACTTATAATTTTAAATTCTACATGACATTTAGTAAAAATTATATATTCTAAAATAATTGGTTCATGACAACAAAAAAAAACTAATTTACATCATGAACTTCTCTTTTATATTAATATCAGACTACTTAAATAAATCAGTATAAATGTTAGCAAATAAATCTCATACATAAAAAAAAAAAAAAAAATGACTTATGCATTAAACAATTTTAAATTATAAGTGAAAAAAACATTAAAAACATACACTTGTCTTTATACGTCTTGATTAACTTCTACTAGGTGATTCTATAAACAGTTAACAATCATTATCTTGGAATGTATTTACGCTTTTAAAATATATTTTTTACATAACTGAAGTGATTACCTAACAATATTGTGTAAAAAGTTAAATAATTTACTTTTTTATCATTTTAAAGTTGTTTCACTTAATTTAATCGTTTAATGACTATATGATATTTAAATGTTACATTCCAAAACAGAATATTTTTCTGTACATTTCAAACGAATACTCAGTATTTTATAACTATTTAAAGTTTAGATAAGCGGAGTAGTAGACAAATATTTTTTGGAGTACACTTTTACAGCACAACTCTTCTAATCTAAACTTTAAATAATAATAAATCATAAAATATAAACACATATTTTAAATTTCATATAGGTATTAGACCAAAATATTGGTCCGAGAATTTTAATTAACAAAAATAAAATTTCGAACTTGGAGTTAATTGGTTATACGTCATAACTAATTAATCACTTGTTAATGTTAAATCATTTTAAATAGTATAATATATTCTGTCCCAATATACGAAATTAAACATTTATACTGTCATTTAAAAAAGTAAACACTTATACAACTTTTAAGCTTATAACGATAAAAATAATTTCTTATATTTTCAAAATGCTTTCTATAAATTATTTAAAATTATGTAATTAAAACATTTTCAAAAAATGTAATACTTTTAACGAGATATAATATATATATAAAGTACTGTTAACGGAATCATCTTGTAATATGTAAAGATTATATGTATTTTTACATGATCATCGTCCTAAATTTTTCTTTTCTTACACATATTATATACTAGGTATATAAAAACTAATTTCTTTTCACTCTGCTGAAAAAACAATTGTTTTATTTTATTTAAATATCAATCTATTCCAGCCTAATCACCATAATCTAACTTTTAGAATTCATTTAAAAATTGATTTTCATTTTTCGGCTTATCGTATTATTAATACTTCATTATAATTAATTTATTCGTGGTAAAAGTTATTTTAAGTATTTTTAATTAAAGCCTAAAAAACTTAGATTTCATTAGAGTTGCTTGTCACCAAATGATGAAAAACTTTCAACAAAAGTTTCAAGATATGTTATTACTTTAAAGACTTAAAAATTAATATAATGGTTATAGCTCACAATTTATAGCTTAGCCTATAACTTACTTATTTAATTGTTATTATAAATTATATTCACCATATAAAACTATCAAAATTATCAAAAGTTTATTTGGTAGATGCCATATTATCACTTTAATAGTTATTTGATTGATTTTTTACAAATACCTACCATTAAATACACTAAATAATAAATGAGTTAACTACTGCTTATACAAAAATATTAGATATAATATTTAAATTATTTTAAGATATTGCGAATCGTCGAATAGTTCTTTTATAAATTAAAATTACCTATATATATATGTTTTAATATCTAGTACAAAATATTTATAGTATAAATATGACCTTAATCCATAATACTAATAGTATGTTACTGATAATGAATGCATTAAAAAAAGAGAATGTCATTTATAACACTTGTGTTTTTCTTACACTGACAAAAAAAAGAATTCAACTAATCATATAATATCTTTAAAATACATACTTCAAAGTATATTTTGTTCTATTTAAAATCAAATTAAAAAAAAATTATTAAATCAACATAATAAAACAAAATCATTTGTATCTCGTATTAACGTTAATAAAGTTAAATAAAAATAAATATTAAACGATTATATTTTTAATTGCCTTCCATTAAGATAAATTAAATCTAATTTGTTGTCAGTTATTATATTTTCTACATGATTATTAATTTAATAAATAGGTTATTAATCACACATACATAATATAATGTTCTACACCACATTAATATTATTATAATACAGTATTTCATATTATGTCAGATTAAGACTTACCTATTTTAATGTTATAAATAATTCTATAGTTAACTATGGATAATAGTTATGGATTAATATTCCGAAGTATGGACAATTGCGTCGTAATTGAGCTAAAAATATTTAATCCATAAATTAATGTATAAGTACGTAAATTACTAATAATATTAACAGGCGGTGTAAAATTATTGTCATAAAAGAAAAAGCTTCTATTAACGTGTAGTGATGTAAAGAAAAACAAACCGGAACAAAAACCTATTCAATATTAATATCTCAATTTCGGTTAAATTACATAGAATATAGATGTTATACAAGCGCGCAATTAATACAATCATTAACATCGATACGGTAATTGATATTTAAAAACGAATGATAGAGTTTAACTGATGGAATATTAAATATACCATCAGTGTAACGTGTGCAGACTGATAGAAGTACTAAAATCAAACAAACCAACATGATCATTCAATCTATCTTCATACAAACTGTAAGTACTTTTTAAACAAAATCGTTATTTTCAGGTAAAAATAAATATTGTATAGGTAGTTATAGTTTCCTAATTATTAGAATATTGTCTATGAACATGGATTATCTTAAGCGTGTTATATTTTATTGCGTTTATAATTGTTTAAAAACTAAATGGCAATAAATATCCTCTTTAGCGTTCTTTTTTTTATTTAGTTTTTACATATTAAACGAAATTACTCACGAAGTTCTAAATAAATAAGATAAATGCATTTTTATTTACAAGGAATAACATCACTTTTTCTCCTGAAACGACTGAAACTCAATTATTGGCCATTCATTTTTAAATCCTAATGTTTTTCTTAGGAACATTTAAACAAAAAGTAAGTAATTGTTTTTTTATTAAACTATTCATTACTTTACAAAACAACACAATATTCAAGCCCGTAAACGAACACCAATCATAAATAGGTACAATAAAAAAATGTTTAACACAAGTATATTTAAACCCTACAAGATAATAATATGTTTCATGTCAATCATTTAAAAATAAACAGATCTAACCAACTAGTGTGTCTGGGTATAGGTGTTATAAATTTACAACTGTGTATAAGACGTTTTTAATGATGATAGATAAATACGAAAAAGATGAACTAAAAAGTTCTGAGTTTCTCTGCGTATTAATCAAACTGACAGTTATACATTTTAATATACGAATAACACGAGCATGCATTGAATTTAATTAAAATGCGAACAAAATATAAATAAATTCCATCGATATTAAATGATTCTAGCGATTTTCACGAGTGTTTTTATTTAATATAGTTTAGATACTCCTCAATCGATTACTATTTTCTAATTCTAATATAGATATCGTATTTATACTCATATCCCATCGGTGTAATATGTGAAGATTACAGTTTGGTTGTGAGCTTAGCTTCGTCAAAAGTTATCGAGTCCATATGAACTCGTCAAATAGTCTAAAATACGATCTATAGTAGAATCTTTTGTAGATATGTATGTCCTACTCTTCGCACTCTCCTCAAAATTTCACTTATGATGATGTTGATGAGCATATACAAACACCGTCTCTAGTCCATTTATGAAAAACTTAAAATAATATGACAAAATCAGTACTTGACTAAGTAAAAACACAGTACCAATTTGACTATTATCTGACAATGAAGTGGAAGCTTTAGATTCACAAGCCTTACTAATTCATTCCATATGACGGTCGTCTCGGCACACTGGAATTAATTATTAATATATTTGTATCATTTTCTAAAAATGTGTAGCTCATCGATTTGAACATATTATATTTAAAAGAGTAATACTTCCCCACACATACACAATGCGTAGTTGTATATTATATATTATAAACTAAATTATACATTTTTTATTTCATTTCTCGTACAGACATTTTGGTGGTCGCTATCGACGATAGTCGGCTGTATCCCGATGGAGCAAGCGAGCGATCGGAGGATAACCGTAGACAGCGTTCCGCTTCCTGACATTCCGATGGCCAGCGAAGAGAGCGTTCACATGCTAACGGCCGTCCGGTTCCCACCGCCAGCACTGTTCTTTGCCAATCCCGACAAGAAATGGTCGCTGGGCGATTTTGAAAAAGCTGATCAGGTCACGACTTATTCGGTCACTGACGATTTGACAGAGACACAGGACCAACAAGACGCATACCTACAACAGGACCCGGTCACTACCGTCGAACCAGAAACGGAAGCAGAAGTTGAGACGACCACCATAGCGACCGCAGTCGACGGATTGGTAGATGAACTAAAGCAGACGGCCAGTGACGGACACGTAGAAGGTTTGCAGCCAACTGTTGACGAACACGTAGAAAGTTTGCGGCCTACTGACGACGGACACGCAGAAAATCATCAGTTAACCGATGACGGACTCGTGGAAAGTCTACAGCCTGCCAGCGACCGACTAGCAGACAGTCGGCCTACTTCCGCCGATCGGCTCATCGTCACGCCAAAACAACAACAACTACCGGTGCGTATCGTGAACCAACGGCCGGCAAACCGTTGGTCGGAAAAGCGGTGGACAGCCTCTCGAGACCGATTACGACGCCCGGCAGCATCGGAACACAATCGATCGCAATTCCGGACGATCGTTCTAACCAGCCGACCGCTTCCGGTGCCCGGCGCCGATGTACGATTTCCCGAAGTCGAGTACGCGGTAGCTAGTCTTGGCGATCGAAAGAACTTGCACGATTTCCACCAACAATAGTACACATACGGTAATAATGGTAAACTGTGAGTCCGATTACCACACTATCGTATTGTACAGAGCAAACCACATATTTTGCTGCAGGCCGACAAAAGTTACGGGTTTCTACAATAATATTGTGTTGTGAGTTGATAATTCGACGTAAGCATATTGTATTTTAAAATAATAATAATAACCACTACAATATTCATATCGTTAAGATGATATTACATTTTATTGTTAATTAATAATCATTATAATATTATATAATATATTGTACAACATAACCTGTTGAAAATAATTTATTATACAACTAAATTTGTTTTTTTCACTAATATACTCTGATTTGTGGTTAGATAATATAAATGACATTTTATAATATCTCGGAATAAGTCCTGGTACACACAGTCAAACGAAATTTAAAACATCGAAACAATCACAGTATCTATTTGTTTGTGTGTATTTTATAATAAATATGTGGCTTGGAAATCAATAACCGATTTAAAGTTCTAAAAAGAAATATTTTATGTATTTAAATTCATCATTAAAACATTCTATTATAATAATAAAGCTTGGTAAACATTTAGCTCGAATAATCATAATTTATAATTAATCAATTTAATTATATTTTTAGATATTATAATCAATATTCACCTTTTAAAATGTATTTTTAAGTATATAAAAATTATAAAATAATAATATTTTGCCTAAAATCACCATATTATTAAATTGTCTTTTTCAGAAAAATATTAATTTTTCTGTTCGGACAATAATCTTTATTGTTCGATAATAAAATAAGCATAGCAAAATAAAAAAAACTCAAAGTACCTTTTAATCTATAAATAATTTTCACAATTTAAATATTAAAATATTAAATAATAAAATAAATATAAATTATGATTTCTTGAGAAGTAAACAATTCAATGCCTAAAACTTAAACTCTTCATTTATCTAGATAGATTTTATAATATCTATTTAGATTATTAACTAATCGAATCGAGTTTAATAATATCCATAATATTGCAATGATGTTTACTTAAACATTTGATACGCTTTTGATTTTGGGGTTTTTGATACTCATTTTGGCTTTAATCCCATTACTTTTATAATTATATTTGTAGCTAATAATTTCAAAATGAAATGTTAATTGCTTAATAATTACATTTCGTACAAATATAAAAATTTCTGTTTGTTATTTTATTATTACGTTACATTGTTACAATATTAATAATGATATTCTGTTTTGAACAATATTAGCCTTCAAATAAAACGTATTCAATATATATTGCACTTATATATATAAATTGCCTATTCTATCTCCGTGCATATACCTATGCATATAATTAGGTATGGTCATGCTATTTTTTATTAATACAACTACTGTTCTTATCACTTATAATGTTCTTCCCCACAACAGCAAAAAAAAAAAAACAATTTAAAGCTAATTAATTTAATATTAAACTAAATGTTTGAACTTATAAAAACATCACCGTATAAAAAAATTAATCTTTACAAGTTTTTGGCACTCCATATCATATTTTAATTAATATTATTAAGTAATGATTTTACAACAAATCATCTTTATCGCGATTAAATTATATAGTATAACTTTTGATTAACAGCATTATTGAAATAATTTACAACATTATTAGTTACATTATTATGCGTTCTAATTTATCTAATATTTTGTTTACAACTGAATACTATTTCTACTAAAACAATGAGTCATACACTATATTTATTAGTACAGGTACACGAGCATTTGTCAAGAAACACGCTTCTGTTATAAAAAGCAATAAATCAAAATAAATATATGAATACATACATAATCCGGTTAGATTTTGAGTGATCGATTGAAATTAAACCTGAAACTCCTTGACGATGATGGTTGGCAATCATTATCACGTACGTAATTGCAAAACGGCATAATATATGCGTATGATTTATTGGAATTATCACATTCCTGGATATTAATTATAATTATTATTCAATCGTAAAACTCGTATTTTTGAATTCACCACTGGCTGGTTCATCAATTATTAGACATCACGGACGCGGGAATCGAATAATTTCGACGAAAGTCTAGCGAGAGAATAGCTTTCATTCCCAGCCCACTCTAAATCGAAAACAGATATAAACCGTACAATATCAATTAAGAGACCCTTCAGCTATTTTAATACAACCAGTGGCTCGGTCACATCAGTGTAAAAAAATAATAATAATAAACCCCGTCATCATAGATGATAAGGGTAGATAACGTCTGTCCCCCCATTACGAGTCATTGTCATAATGCTGTCGGAAAAAAAAAATGCCGAAATTGACGCAAGCAGATCCTGTCAAAAACGTCAACAGTGGGATTTTTTTTTTCACTTCAATATTAACGCATAAATGAAAAACACGGCCAAGCGATTCAAAAGTGTAAATTTCGCTTTTAATTTAACACGACCCGTGTTGCAAAACTTTAACCATAAATCTAATTTTCAACGAACGGCATTACACCGCCTAAACGCTAACGACGAACAAAAATCAACTATTGCGATAGAATTCTCATGATAGGTTAGTATACAAATAATAAAACAACGGTGGAAACATCGTCGTCTTAACAGTAAATTAACGGATGTCAATGATTTTGAAATTTTAAAATAATAAAAAAATTACTTAATTATAAAATGCGTGCAACGGTTTTTTTTTTTTTTTTTGGTCCTTGATAATTGAAAGTCATGAATACCTTAAGATTTATGTTTTTAATTATTTTTCTGGATGAATCGAAAATTATATTATTGACAGACATGACAGACATAATATGTATATTAATTCCATATTGTTTTTCACATTAAAAATGCACCCTCTTGGCCTCATAAAAAGTGGGTGATTTTAATTTCAATTTATTTACCCTCGTCAAAAATATTAATAACACCAATTTTTCTTATATTTTCACTTGTTTATTAATTAAAACTAATTAAAACATTAATTCAAAAAACATACTAATATAGTCTCCATTAATCAGCTTGCCATAACAAAATATATTAACAATAAAATCATTTTTTTAACTTTTAACGGTCAATTAATAATACACACTTATGTTAGTTAAAATATTCCTAACAAAAAAAAAAAAAAAAAAAACTGGTAAGTATTAATATTTTCTAACCACTCTGCTGTACAATAGATGTTAAATGAATCTAATCATTTAATGAGTGACTGTAATGGATGTGTTAAATTTGAATTCAATAATAAATCATTGTAAACCATAAGTATTATACGAAAACGATTCTGAGCAAAAACGGTCTGTCATCGTATAATAAATATGTTTTATGATAAATTTATTATTTAATTAATATTACAGTAATTTATTTTTTAATTATTAATAAGATGACTATAGCCATAAACAGGCTTTTTAGTTCTTGTTTATCCTAAACGGCTTCCATTTTATAAAAACATCAGTCACCAAACGGAAAAAAATAACTAAAATCACGATTTTTCACTAAAATATCAAATCACATAAAAAATAAAGCTTGTAATATTTTTAGATTTTTAGTTTTAGTAATAAATACTTATGAGAAATCTTGTATTAAACATTCAAGCATCAGTTATGAAAATTGGACGTCATGTAAATTTTCAACAACAAAATAGTTCTTACGTTTTGTTGACAAATTTTGAGAACATTTATAAAAAAAAACTCACGATTATGTATTTTTAGTAGTTTTGAATAGCTATAAAAACAATTTATGTGGACTTATAGCACTGATCCTAAACATTATTATCGATATTTAAAAAAAATGTATAAACATTTCAAATGCCTTTAAATGGTCTAAATTGAATGTAATTTTGTGATCTATAAAAAATGAAAGCTTTAAATAACGATAAAATATTTTAAATTTCTATAATTACTTAATGCATTTTGAATGATATAATTTAAATTAAGATCATTTGATGACAAATTGTTTTTTTAGCGTAAACGTCTAATGCCATTAAAATTGTACGTAATCATCTTTTTTTTTAATTTCATTAACATAAGCCTTATAAATAACCTTGTATTCAATTTTCAAATCTTAAATATGAATATAGAATATTTTATCAATTTTTTACTTCAAAATAATAAATAAATGTTAAATAATTTTAATGAATATTAAAAATGTTAAGCTTTAAACGTCTTAAAAAAATATTATAAATATAAATTTTTAATATTTTTTAATTGATATACGTTCAACTTATAAGGAACCTAAAATAAAGTTAAACATTTGAAATAACTATAAACAACACAAAATAAGTCAAAATATTTTGAAAATTAATTCATATCTAATAAGTGATAATATTAATTTCGATAAAAAATTTCCAAATCTTTACATTGATTTTGTGTTACACCAAAAAAATAAAATTTATTTTGCTTAAAAATTTTATTTTTTACACCAACTAGATTTAATTTGCTACTAGAAACCGCCATCTGCAAAGTTGAAAATCAAAACGTTTTTACTGTTCCAAATAGTAAGATACATATCATTGTAATATCGTTACATTGATCGTTTTTCTTGTTTTTAATATTTAAAATATTAACATTTTAAAAAATGTTTAAAAAGCGATGTTTTAAAATAACAACTTCAGTTTGTATGATATACATATTATGTTAACCCTTATAGATTATATTAACTATTTTAGTATTGTAAATAGCAATAATGAATATTACAAATTTACTACTACTGAAGTACAACGGTAATTTAATAAAACAATTTATATTTAAACAAGACAATTCTAATAAAATCAAAAACAATAATTGTTTCTGTATCCACAGTGTTTAATTCAACACGTGTTTTGATGTATGAAATAATAATTAATTATGCCCATGTAAGTTTTATCATAATATTTTATATTTTTATCATTCAATTTGTATTAATTTGACATGCCCGGTGGTTTTATTTCAGCTTGTTGTTCATCCTTGTAATTCTAACGCTATCTAACGGTTTATGATTCATACTAAGCCCGTTAGACAGCTTAATAATCAATATTCAATACATATATTATCATGGCATTCCTATAAATTATAGTTTGTAAATATATCGAAACATATAATTACTATTCTATTTACGTGGTTAAAAGTAATCAGAGTATAGGAATTAAATTATTTTTATGCATTATTATAAACTAATTATTTTCATTTTTGC